TTTATTCGATTTAGACCCCGACCCTTTAGACAGAGTCTACTCGGGGCAGCTTACAAAGAAGAACAAAACATTATAAAATACAATCAAATAAAAACCATCAGTATATGTAAATCAATGACATAATCATATCGTTAATCTAAACACCGTATTTCTAGCCATTGATCAAACAGATTCCAAATTTGATAGTATTCTAAATCTTCCTTCCCTTTGATTTTTAATGTCAGCCTATCCATATCTGAGCAGTCCAATATCTTTTAAATTATTTCTTCATCTGGAGGTGTTTCTTCATTGTTCCAGTACTGTGCAAATATAATTATTGTGGCTGTTAAAATATGCAGTATTAAATATATATATTGTTTATCAACACTTTCTGGAATTATACTTAAATAAAAAGGAGTTCTGGTTTGAAATCTACATGTTTTTAAATTATTTTAACATGCCATATATGTACTTTTTACCAAACCCTTTTTGCTTTATTGCATGTCCACCAAAGGTGATATTAAGTTCTTTATGACATTGGGAGCCACAGTTCTGAGAGGACCTGCAGGAGACACCCACCAAATAGTTTTAAGGCCCCAGGAAACCTCACAAAGTCACCATTTAAACAGGTCACTGCACCAGAGCACCTGGCTTCAGCTGGGACTAGATTTCTTGCCCAGCTTGGGTCCACTTTTAAAGCATTCACTGGGGTAATTTTGGGCAGACAGGTAGCCCCCAAAGGTAGAAAACAACTCTGCAAACCACAAGTTAAAACCCTGGGAAGAAAAGAAGGGTCTGAAAGGAAGGGGCTGCTGAGCAAGCCTGCTTGTGGAGCACCCTCTTAAATATTTTTCTATGCTTTTAATTGTATTAAAAGCATGGATTGCTGCCTTGTCATGGCAAAGGCCCAAAGGTACAACTCTGCAAACCACAAGTTAAAACCCTGGGAAGAAAAGAAGGGTCTGAAAGGAAGGGGCTGCTGAGCAAGCCTGCTTGTGGAGCACCCTCTTAAATATTTTTCTATGCTATGCTTTTTATTAAAAGCATGGATTGCTGCCTTGTCATGGCAAAGGGGCTTGAGTAATTCAGAGAAGCTATGGGCTATGCTGTGCAGGACACCCAAGATGGACAGGTCATAGTGGAAAGTTCTGACTAAACGTGATCCACCTGGAGTAGAAACTGGCAAGCCACTCCAATATTTTTACCAAGAATACCCCATGAAGAGAAACAAAAGGCTAAAAGATATGACGCTGGAAGATGGGACCCTCAGATCGTAAGGCGCCCAACATGCTACTGAGGAAGAGTGGAGGAGAAGTACAAGTAGCTTCAGAGCTAATGAAGTGGTTGGGCCAAAGCCGAAAGGATGCTCAGCTGTGGACATGCCTGGAAGTGAAAGGAAATTCTGATGCTCCAAAGAAAAATACTGCATAGGAATCTGGCATGTAAGA